TAGGTCTTGTAAATAAAAAAAAAGAAAAAGAAAAAAGAAACAAAAAGTTGATTGAACTTCATGAACTCTAAAAAACTTTATACTACAAAAAATGCCACGAAGAAAGTAAAAAGCCAACCAAGTAACAAAAATATCTGCAACTCACATATCTGAGAACTATACTCAAAATACACAAAGAGGGGCTGGTGAGATGGCTCAGTGGTCTAAAGCACCTACTTAGAACAAGCTAAGCCAAGCAAAGCACAGGGACCAGGGTTCAATCCCCCAGCACCACATGCCAGCCAGCCCCACCCCCTGGTGGGCTGAGCTGGCCACACACACACACAAATAAAAAAAAAAAAAAAAAAAAAAAAAAAAAAAAAATACACAAAGAAGGGGCCTGGGAGATGGCTCAGTAGAATAAGTGCTTCCCTGGCAAGCGCAAGGGTCTGAGTTCAATCCCTGGTTCCACCAAAAAAACCCCAAAAAACAAAAAACAAAGAAGCCTTACAACAGAAAAATAAGATAAATAACTCAATTTTATTGTATGTTATTGAAATAGGGTCTCTCTTAATTGTGTAGTCCAGGCTGTTGAACTCATGGCAAATCCTCTTGCCTCAGCCTCCTGGAGGCTATGAGCCACCACACCTGACAACAGCCCAATTTAAAAATGGGCAAAGCTCTGAACAGACATTTCTCTAGAGATGATAACATAACTGGCCAGTAAATACTGCACACAGAGACTCGCAACCTCACTGGTCATCAGAGAAGTGCAGACCAAGACCCCGGTGCAGCAGCACTTCATATCCAACAGCATGGCTGAAATAAGAGGCAACAAACAGCAAGTGTCACCGAGGACGGAGGAAAAACCCCAACCCTTCTCCATTGCTGTGAGGATGCAAACTGCGGCAACCTCTTTGGAAGGGAAAACAGCCTGGCAGTTCCTCAAAGAGTTAAACATGAAGTTACCTGATGATGTGAGATTCCACTGCCAGGCACGCACCCAGATGTGGCAACTACAAGCCCACACAGCAACCTGAACAGAAACAGTCACCACAGCGGTATTCACAGCATTATCTGTACATGGAAACGGCTCTGATGCCCACTAACTGATGAACGGATAAAACAAACTGCGGCAATCATATCATGGAATATTTATTATTTGGCCATGGGAATGAAGTAATGACGTGATACGTGCTATCCTATTAATGAACCTTGAAAACGTCATGCCAATGATGTTTCCAAGTCTGTAAAGTCAAAACCTGTTTCTGAACCAGGGCTTCCACTAAATTTCAACCACTACATAAAACAACCTAAAATCAATCTCTGTCTCCTTTGTCTGTCCTGGGGACTGAACCCAGGGCTTTCCCACAGAGCTACATTCTCTACTCCTTTGTTTTTATTTTTTTAAAAGGCAAGATTTAGGGCTGGGGGGATAGCTCAGTAGAATAAGGGCTTGCCTGGCAAGCGCAAGGGCCTGAGTTCAATCCTTGGTTCTGGAGAAAAAAAAAAAAAAGGCAAGATTTAGCTCACAGCTGTAGAGGTTTCAGTTCATAAGCTCCAAGGCAGGGTGGCACACGGCAGAAGGGCAACCAACCAGTCATGGCCATGGAAGATAGCAAAAGCAACAGGAGATGAGCCTAGCCCTTTATTTATTTTTATTCTGAGGTAGGGCCTGGCTAAATTGCTCAGAATGAGCTCTAACTGTGATCCTTCTCTGCTTCAGGTTCCTGGAGTGCTGGGATGGCAGGCATGTGCCTTCATGCCCAGCTTTAAATCTCTTTTGAAAAAAAAAAATAGAAAAGATAGTAGCAAAAAACAGTAGAGATGAAAGCTACTGATGGGATATCTTAACAGAAATAAACCCTAACCCTAACCCAGAGAGAAATTCCAGAGAGAGAGAGATTCCAGAGAGAGATTTTCTGACTTGAGACATGCTAGCTGAGGCTCAGGCAGAGTACCACACCAGCCTTGATGGAAAGGAGCCAACCAGTGAAATTAAGAAAGAAATAGTAGAAGGAGTAAGAAAAAAACCAAGAGAAAGTAGTGCCAAGAGTCAAGACAAGAATTCTAACAGCACACGCTACAGGTCCACCGGAGTAAAAACCACCACCCCTTGGGAGGACCCAGCCAACAGCTCTGCACTGGGCATAGTGGGGTGAGTGGGCGGAAGCCGCTCTCAGGGTGCCAAGGCTCAGTTGGTTGTGGTTATTTTGTTTTGTTTTGTTCCTCGAATGCCTTCAGGGCACTTTTGGCCAGCGGGAGAGGTGTGAGTTTCGAACTCCAGCAACCTGAGGCTGACAGCTTTGTGGAAGCAGCCACTTAAAGGCCTGAGCTAGGGCCAGGCCCCCTATTTTGTTTTTAAAGTCTCAAGACTTGGGCTGGTGAGATGGCTTGGTGGTCTGGAGCACCTACTTAGAACAGGCTTAGCTAAAGCACAGGGACCGCGGTTCAATCCCCCAGCCCCGCCCTCTGGTGGGCTGGGCTGGCCACACACACACACACACACACACACACAAATTAAAAAAAAAAAAAAAAAAGTCTCAAGACTTTGAGTTTCTAGAGAAGAAGCCAGAAAAAAGAGAGCAACACAGGACTAGGGGAAGCTGCCCGATATCTAAGGACAGGGAGAAGTTAGACTGAGAGCTAGGTGGAACGGCTTCAGACCACATTAAAATCAAAATCCACTGTAGGATGCAAGACAGGAAGGCCTGATTTACTTTGTCCCATGAGAAGAGTTCTCAAATGAATTTACCAGACACAGTACCCCTATAAAAATTAACTGTTAAAAAAAATTACTTGTTAACGATTTTATTTTTCTTTTGCAGTACTAGGGATTGAACTCAGGACCTTGCACTTGCCAGGCAAGTGCTTATTCTACTGAGCTATCTCCCCGGCCCTAATTTCTTTTCTTTTCTTTTTTTTTTTTTTGTGGAACCAGGGATTGAACTCAGGCCCTTGTGCTTGCCAGGAAAGTACTTATTCCACTGAGCCATCTCCCCGGCCCCCCTATTTTCTTTAAGAGAGGGTGTCCATGGATAACTTAAGCTTACTGCAACTATCTTATTATACTAGAAAATAATATGGTTGAGTTTGCATGTTAATCTGTCAAGCATGGGAGGCTGAGGCAGGAGGATTGTAGCAATTATGAGGCCAATCTGGGCTACATAATGAGGCTGAGGTCAGTCTGAACTACATAATGGGACCCTGTCTCAAAAAACCAAACAAAAACAATAGCAACAATAACAAAAATCAAAGCTAAAGCTCAGGGATGTAGCTCAGTGGCACAGCGCCTTCCTGACAAGCAAGAGAAGAGTCCCATGAGAAGAATTCAATCCCTGTTACCAAAAAAATAAAAATAAAAATAAAAAAAAATAAAAAATAATAATAAAATAAAATAAAAAAATTTAAAAAATCAAATCTTCTTTGAATGTCTTAACACTGTCAGTTGCCAGTTTCTAGTTAATTTCCCCTAATAATGTTTTTTTTTGTGGTACTGGGAAGAGAACTCAGGACCTTGTGCTTGCCAAGCACTTATTCTACTGAGCTATCTCCCCAGCCCCTTTCCCTAATAATGTTTTTCATGTGACTCCAATAGAGTCTGGTTTAAAATTTACACAACCATTCAGTGACACTATAAAAATAAGGGATAAGGCTCTGAAAGAAAAAAATATAGAAATGTAAAGTGTGTTGAGTTATGACACTTTGCACTGGAGAGTTACCACCCAGTGCTAAGAAAAGGGTTTCACTTTTCAATCTGAGACTAGAGCTCACAATTAAGGATATCAAAGACTGGCATCTGACTACAAGGACCCTTATTGTGCTTTTTTTTTTTCCTTTTTGAGACAGGGTTTCACTATGCAGTTGAGGTTGGCCTTGAACTCACTTTGTAGCCCAAGCTGGTCTCTTGCAATGATCCTCCTGCCTCAGCCTCCCAAGTGCTGGGATTACAGGTTAAGTGCCAGCATACCCACAAAAACAAACTAGGTGTGCGACACCACACCCAGCTTGTTTTTGTTTTTCACAACAGGGTGTCAATAAGTAATTCAGGTTGTCTTTGAGCTCACTATGTAGCTCAAGCTAGCCTTGAACTTGTGGCCATCCTCTTCCTCAGCCTCCTGAGTTCTTAGATTACAGATGTGTACCACCACACCCAGCTTATTGTGCTTTCTTAAATGATACAAAAGTATCCTTCAAATTAATTGACAATCTTTTTTTTGGGGGGGGGTAGTGCAGGGACTGTCCTTTAAGTAACCCAAGTTGGCCTTGAACTCACAGAGATCCTCCTGCCTTTCCCTCCTAAGTGCTGGGATACCAGGCCTGTGCCACCACTGTCTCCTTTGGCTTTTTTTAAAAAAATTTTTATTTATTTATTTATTTATTTTTGTGTGTGGCCAGCTCAGCCCACCAGGGGGCGGGGCTGGCTGGCATGTGGTGCTGGGGATTGAACCGCGGTCCCTGTGCTTTGCTGAGCTTGTTCTAAGTAGGTGCTTTAGACCACTGAGCCATCTCACCAGCCTCCTTTGGCTTTTTAAAGTTTTTTCATTTATATCGGTAAAAATGAACAACTATAGAGTTTCTCATCAAAAGAGTATTTAAGTGGCCTGTTCAGCTCAAGGCTGATACATTTGCAAGCACAGGTTTGGAATATGAGAGGCACTAAAATCTGTACCTTTGCCCTTGCATTCCCACTGAGGTAACAACAGGTCCTGCCCTCACGGCCGGGCAAGGAAGGCAGGCCTGTCAACAAATTGAGACACAGGCAAAACCAGAAGTGAGTAGAGTTCAACGGAACGCGCTGGAAGAAGCGCAAGCAGGGGCGCATTCCTGCATTCCTCAAAAGGTGTTCGAAGGAAACCTGTTGCAGGAACCGAATTTTGCTAAGGAGAGCCGAGGGAGGTCCCAGGTCCTAAGGAGAGGAATTCACCGCTCGTGGAAGCCACGGATCTACCTTATCTTCCGACAGTCGCCATACACGCCCGCCTCCGTCCCCCTGGCACGCACCCCGGGGAGGACCTCACCTGTACTGCCAGCCCTTGGCACTGCCTCCGCGGCTGCTGCCGGCGCCGCTGCCGGTCGCGCCCGCGCCGCCGCTCTTGGCGCTCGGGGTCCCGGCGGCCGTCAGCGCCTCCAGCCTCCCCTCGCACTCCGAGACTCTCATTGTGGACACTGGGTCCTGCATCTTGGCTCCCGGGTCCACCTGCCCTTCCCGGGCGGCACAAGCGAACTCCACGCAAGAGTTTTGTGGGCGCTTCTTCTTCTCTTAGACACTCGGATGTGATCCCAGTTGCTAAATGCGACGGCGACAGGAGAAGGGACAGCCACTGGCCGGGGAGTGGAAGACACACATCCCCGCCGAGTTAAACTTTCTGGACGGCAAGGGAAGCGGTGCACAGAATCCTTTCCATCCACACGGAGTTATCTCCCTCCTGACACGAGCAAGGGGGAAAGTGTCACCCAGCTAGAGGGCTTGGGGACACTGAGGAGATGCGGACGGCGTGCGGGGGAGACGCGAGCTCTGAAGCCGCGAGTGGGCCAGGGGCGGGGGGGACACGCGGCCTGGCCTTGGCGGAGGGCGGGTCAGCCGCGACCCCTGTTCTTCTCAGCCTCTCTGCTCGGCGGGAACCGCCAGAGCCCGAGACCCAGGCGCCGCGGCGCGCGCAGCCCAGGAGGTCGCAGAGGAGGCCTCCGAGGGCGGGACTCTGGATCCCAGGGTCCGCGGCTAGCCGTGCAGCGAATCCCTCCGACGCCCCTGGCCTTGTGTTTCGACGCGGGTCCCAAGAGCTGTCGAGCCAAACGCGTAGAAGCCAGGGACTCGGACACCGCCCCACCGCGAGTCACCTACCCTCTCGCTCGCTTCCCGCCTTCCCTTCCGGAGTAGCGTGAGGTCACTTCCGTTAGGGCCGACGCACTTGGCGCCATCTTAGATTTGGGCACCTCTACCCTGAAGGGGGCGGAGCCTTTGTGGGCGGGGAATCAAAAGGAAGCTTTAGACGGCGAGGCGAGAGAGCTGCAGAACCTCCAAGAGGGGTCCTGAAGGGGCCAGCCCTTGTGGAGGGTGACTTCCTAGCCTTCCATTCGAGGACCCATTTCATGCATTTTCAGGAGAAAGTTATGAAGAACAACTTTTTGCAAAACAGAATGAAAACACTTTTTTCAGTCTCTTTGGAGAAAAATGATGACATTGAAATACAAGCAAATCAGTCTTAGAAATGAACAAGAGGCTCATTGGAAATCAGAACCAGGTACTCTTCCTGACTCCAGACAACCTCTTCCCCTCTTTCAGACCTGGTTATCATCTGTAAAGTGAGAGTGATTGTCCGTCTCATTTTATGAATTCTAGTTCCTATCAACGTGACTTGTTCTTGTTTTTGTCTTTTTGAGACAGGGTCTTACTATGCAGTTCAGGCTGGCTTATTGTATATAAAACTCTACAGGGAGCACCATGGTGCACGCGTGTAACCCCAGAATTATGGGAGGCTGAGGAAGGAGGATCCAAGTTTGAGTCCAGTCTGGGCAATGTAGTGATTTAGTGAGATCTTGTCCCAAAATAACAAGTATAGAAGGGCTGTGGTTATACCTCAGTTCGAAGGTTCTGGCTCATTTCCTAGTACCAAAAAAAATTAATTAATTGTTTAAAAGCTCTGGGATAGGGGCCAGGGAGATGGCTCAGTGGAATAAGTGCTTCCCTGGCAAGCATAAGGGCCCGAGTTCAATCCCCAGTTCCGCAAATAAATAAATAAATAAATAAAATAAAAATAAAATCTCTGGGATAAATGTGAAGATGGATTACTCAAGGTGAAAAATAAGCAAATATTAAATTCATATATATATGATAAAAGGGGCTGGGGAGATGGCGCAGTAGAATAAGTGCTTCCCATGGGGCCGGGGAGATGGCTCAGTGGAATAAGTGCTTCCCTGGCAAGTGCAAGGGCCTGAGTTCAATCCCCGGTTCTGCACCAAAAATAAATAAATAAGTTCAGTGGAATAAGTGCTTCCCTGGCAAGTGCAAGGGCCTGAGTTCAATCCCCGGTTCTGCACCAAAAATAAATAAATAAGTTCAGTGGAATAAGTGCTTCCCTGGCAAGAATAAGCGCTTCCCTGGCAAGCACACGGTCTGAGTTCAATCCCCAGTTCAAAAAAAAAAAAAAAAGAAAAGAAAAGAATGAGATCCAGGCACAACGTGTGTACCTGTGGTCCTGAGAGAGGAGACTAGGGCAGGACAAAACCTGCTGAGCAGGTGGGCATGACTTGTCAACACAGAGAGCGGGAGCACATTGCAGAGCAGACTGCAGCCCTGCACCTGGACCAGCCAGAAAGGGCTAGCTTCAGTCCTTCATTCACATCTGGTGAGGAATTGAGCAGACATTTGATAGGACATTTGAGATCTGACAGCAGGCCAGGTGAGCTTGTGGTAGGAGGACTGTCACAGATGTTGGTTCTGGATGGGAGAGAAGGTTCTAGGAAGGGGAATACGGAAGAGCCCAGCTGTTACCCTCATGGCAGCTGTGAGCCTTCTCAGCCCTGGCTCTCACTCTGCAGGGTGATTTTGTTTTCTACCTCCAATAAAAGTAAGTCCCCCTTACCTTTCTTGAGTCTCTTGTCCAATTCTTTGTTTGGGACACCAAGTATCCAGAAGGAATCTCTTCAGAACCCAAAAAGCCCATAAACCCAGCTCCTTGGGAGACTGAGGAAGGAGGAGCATTTCAGCGTAGGAATTAAAGGCCTACCTGGAGACAAAACTGAGACTTCATCTCATAAAAGGACAAGAAATTATTTTGTAAAATAAAAACAACACAGGGTCAGGGAGATAGCTCAATAGAATAAGTGTTTGCCTGGCAAGCACAAGGGCCTGAGTTCAATCCCCAGTTCCACAAAAAAAAAAAAAAAAAAAAAAAAGGAAAAGAAAAGAAAAAAGAAACAACACAGTGGGTGGGAGGGGTGATACACAAAGTAAATGTGATGGATGGAGAACCTACTTGAGAAGAACAGTTGGGGAAAGCTTGCTAAGGACATGACGTGTACAGTGAGAGATAAAGAAAGCTTCAGAGGCTCTGGGAAAAGCATAAAACTCCTCGTGAATGGAGCCTGGAGCAGGACCTGGAGGATGGTGTGAGATGATTGTGGGGAGAAGCAGAGGAATTCGCATTGCATGGTGAATGCTGTGGAAAGTCATAGGAGGCTCTAATCAGAGCAGGCTTGTAAGCCGATGCACACGTAAAGATCCTGGCTTTCTAACAATGGGGCCAGAACAATTGCATTAACTGCACATAAAAGAATGAGCTTGGGGCCAGGTGTAGTGGTACAGGCACCCGGGAGGCTAAGGTAGGAGGGCCACCTAGGCCTCAAGGCCAGCCTGGACAGTGAGACCCTGTTTCAATTTTAGTGTATGTACTGCCGAAGCGAGCACAAGACCCCGTTTCAAAAACAAACATGAAGTTGGACCTCTACCTTGTTGCACACACAAACATAAACTCAAAATGGATCAAAAATATAAATGTAAGAACACCCTTACAAGAAAACCCAGAATGCATGTCCATGACCTGGCACTAGGCAGAACTTTCTTAGATACGACATCAAAGCAAAATCACAGAAGAAAAGCACAGAGTGGGCTTCATGAAAGTCAAAAAACTTTTGTTCTTCAGACAGTGCCATGAAAAAAAGTAAAAAGACTTCTATGTGGAGAAAATATTTACAAATTAGATATATGATTACCCAGAGGCTGACCCAAGGAGAGATGCTCCCATGGGCCAGGTGGGCCCACACCGTGGAGCAGTGTAGCTTGAGGGGTGGTCAGCTGACCTTGGGTCCAGGGATGCCACCAGTTCCTCAGCCTCTTAGATGTTGGTGCTGCATCGTCCTTGTTCCCAGTGGCGGCGAGATCTGGGGACTGGCCTTTGCTAACAGGTTTCACTAAAGACAGAGGTAGCTGGGGAAAGATAGCTGTTACTTCACAATGCAAAACACCAGCTACAAAGCTCAAATTAGAGTGCCAGAGTAAGAAACTCAACAGGATAAATGATCACTAGACGGTTATACTGGGCTCCTGGAGACTGAGCAAGGAGAATTGGTTGCATAAAGGATTTGTTTTATTTACCTGTTGATTTGTTGATACAGGGTCTCATTTACTTCAGGCTGGCCTTGAACTTACTGTTTTCTTACTTGGTGTGTGTGTGTGTGTGTGTGTGTGTGTGTGTGTGTGACTGGGGATTGAACCAAGGGGGCCTGTGCATGCAAGGCAAGAGCTCTACCACTGAGCCACACACCCAGCCCAAACTCACTGTGCAGCACAGGCTGGCCTTGAGCTCTCAGCAGTCCTTCTGCCCCGGGCTCCTACGTGCTGTAATTACAGACCCCTGCTTGTTTCTCTTTCTTTCTTTCTTTCTTTCTTTCTTTCTTTCTTTCTTTCTTTCTTTCTTTCTTTTTTTCTTTCTTTCTTTCTGTTATGGGGAATTGAGCTTATGACTTCACACTTGACAAGCAGGTGCTATGCTGAGATATATCCTCCGCCCTGTTTTTCATTTTGTTTATTTACTTTTTGGTTTTTTTAGAGACAGGACCTTATTGTAGGTTAGAATGACCTTGAACTCCCAGTGCAGCTCAGGCTGGCCCCGAACTTTTTTTTTTTTTGGCGGAACTGGGGATTGAACTCAGGCCCTTGTGCTTGCCAGGGAAGTGCTTATTCTACCGAGCCATCTCCCCTGGCCTCCCCTTTATTTTGTCCTCGAACTTGTGGCAATACTTCTGCCTCAATCTCCTGAGAGTGCTTGGATTTCAAGCATGTGCCACCACACCTGAGATTTATTTGTTATTGTTATCATTAGCTTGAGTTTTTTGAGACAGGGTCTCGCGATGTAGTTCAGGTTTGTCTTGAACTCACTATGTAGTCCAGGCTGGCATGTACCACCATGCCAGGCACGTTTTTTAGAGAAAAACCTATTTTTATCTCCTAGGGCCTGAGTCTCTCTTTCCTTCAGGGCCTGTGGAAAAAGGAAGGATGGAAGACCTGAAAAAGGAAGATGAAGGGGTGTGCCTTCCTGAAAGCTTTCCCAGGGGTGCGTGCGCCTGTGGGAATAGCTCTTCCGGTCCCCTGCGTGCCCATCAGTGTGTCCTTCTCCACGGCGAGGAGCTGCGTAGCTCAGTGGCTGGGATCCTGGGCCCTGATGGCAGTCTGACACCCAGAGTCCTTTGCCTGTGACCTTGGGTGTGAGCCAGCTCACCCCTGTGCCTGCACCTCCTCATCTGGACAGCAGGAGAGACAGAAAGCTCTGAGCAGGTCAACTGTGCCCCTTTCAACGTGGAACCTGTGATGGGGAAACCCTGGCTTTGCATGTGGTGGCACTCGGAGAGGGGCCTTTGGAGGTCATTAGGGCAACAGCAGGGGCTGCAATGGGGATTTTGCTGGGTAGGGAACTAGAGCTTGGTGTGTTGGCACAAGCATGGAATCCCAGCACTCGGGAGCTGAGGCAGGAGGTTCCTGATGAGTTTGGGGGCTGCCTGGGCTGCATAGGTCATAGCGCCATCCCAGCTTTGAGGTGTCCTGTGATAGATAGCTAGGTTTAGGTAGAACTTTAGTAGGCAGCCAGCCAGGGCTGGGCCTCAAGGGAGTCAGTGCAGAAGATGAGACACATTAAAACTGTGGCTGGAGGTGCATCTGAATAAGATTAAAGCCACAATGACTAGTTTCACATACTTCCCTAAGGAGGTTTGGGATTACTGGTCTCACCCTTTTGAGATCTCCCATTACATCTCAGAGACGTACCATCCTCTTCCTCCTATGGAGACTGAGACTAAGACTAAGACCATTAAGACTAAAACTTCTAAAACTAAAAATAAGAGCAAGACTAGATTATGGACCAGGGTTAATGATGTACTTGGGTACCTCTGCTACCCTTAGATCAATATTACCTCAGCTACTATACTTGAAGTCTTATTGATTGATGATAATTTTGACCCACATTGTCTCATGATTTTGCTCTACCAGACTTCCTTGGAGAGGTGGGTTCACTGGCAACCCATTTAGGACCCCACTTGTCTCTTGGGAGCTATTTCCCATTCCTATTGGATCCCCCCCTCCCTAGGTTGCTAGTCTAACCCACGTGGCACACAGATGCAAAAGAAAGGCAAAGAGAGAAAGTTGTGCATTTGACGCATTCTGGGATGATCCAGTGTTTGCTGTGGAACAAAAAGCCAGGAGGCCAGAGGAAGAGAAACTTTGCAGGCATTGGCTGTAAGGAGAAACAGCAATTTTTTATTTTTTTTATTTTTATTTTTTTAGAAACAGCAATTTATACCAGGCACAAAGGCTCCCAATTAGAGTTCAAGGCCAGCCTGAATGAACAGCCCCTGCACAGGCTGGTTGATACGACAAGGCTAGCACCTTTACTGCCGGGAAAGTCTAATGCTGAGGCCACTGGCCTCGGCTGTGATGTTATCTTACGTCTTAGACCTGGACTCTCACAGGCTCTTGCTCAAGCCGCCATGGGGGGTGGGGTTTCTCCCCTGTGTTGCAGTGGCACAGGTTGGCTTCTGGGTTGGACTTAATCACATTCTTTTAGTCAATTAAGGGAACATCCGTTTCAATATAGCCAGATCTGCACATCTCAGTGAACGGGGTTGGATGAGAGGGCAGGGAACGATGGA